TCTGTGCGCCCCTCCCCCACCGTCTCCTCCCCCCACTCCAGCTGGGCCCCTCTGAGCCCCCCTTCATCCCCACTGTGCTATCCTTGCCCCAGCCCTCCCTCCCTGCTTTGCCCCTCCCTTCCCCTTTGCTCCACCCCTCAGTGGCCCCTCAGCCAATGGCCTCTCTCCTATCAGATGGGAAGCTCCAATGGGAAGAGGAGGCCTGTATCAACCGGCTCAAGAGCAATGAGGTGAGAAAATCCCGGAGTGGATTGAGCCCCGGGGAGCAGGAGGGGAATGGGGGAAATCCCGGAGTGGATTGAGCCTGGGGGAGCAGGAAGGGAATGGGGGAAATCCCGGAGTGGATTGAGCCTGGGGGAGCAGGAAGGGAATGGGGGAAATCCCGGAGTGGATTGAGCCTGGGGGAGCAGGAAGGGAATGGGGGAAATCCCGGAGTGGATTGAGCCTGGGGGAGCAGGAAGGGAATGGGGGAAATCCCGGAGTGGATTGAGCCTGGGGGAGCAGGAAGGGAATGGGGGAAATCCCGGAGTGGATTGAGCCTGGGGGAGCAGGAAGGGAATGGGGGAAATCCCGGAGTGGATTGAGCCTGGGGGAGCAGGAAGGGAATGGGGGAAATCCCGGAGTGGATTGAGCCTGGGGGAGCAGGAAGGGAATGGGGGAAATCCCGGAGTGGATTGAGCCTGGGGGAGCAGGAAGGGAATGGGGGAAATCCCGGAGTGGATTGAGCCTGGGGGAGCAGGAAGGGAATGGGGGAAATCCCGGAGTGGATTGAGCCTGGGGGAGCAGGAAGGGAATGGGGGAAATCCCGGAGTGGATTGAGCCTGGGGGAGCAGGAAGGGAATGGGGGAAATCCCGGAGTGGATTGAGCCTGGGGGAGCAGGAAGGGAATGGGGGAAATCCCGGAGTGGATTGAGCCTGGGGGAGCAGGAAGGGAATGGGGGAAATCCCGGAGTGGATTGAGCCTGGGGGAGCAGGAAGGGAATGGGGGAAATCCCGGAGTGGATTGAGCCTGGGGGAGCAGGAAGGGAATGGGGGAAATCCCGGAGTGGATTGAGCCTGGGGGAGCAGGAAGGGAATGGGGGAAATCCCGGAGTGGATTGAGCCTGGGGGAGCAGGAAGGGAATGGGGGAAATCCCGGAGTGGATTGAGCCTGGGGGAGCAGGAAGGGAATGGGGGAAATCCCGGAGTGGATTGAGCCTGGGGGAGCAGGAAGGGAATGGGGGAAATCCCGGAGTGGATTGAGCCTGGGGGAGCAGGAAGGGAATGGGGGAAATCCCGGAGTGGATTGAGCCTGGGGGAGCAGGAAGGGAATGGGGGAAATCCCGGAGTGGATTGAGCCTGGGGGAGCAGGAAGGGAATGGGGGAAATCCCGGAGTGGATTGAGCCTGGGGGAGCAGGAAGGGAATGGGGGAAATCCCGGAGTGGATTGAGCCTGGGGGAGCAGGAAGGGAATGGGGGAAATCCCGGAGTGGATTGAGCCTGGGGGAGCAGGAAGGGAATGGGGGAAATCCCGGAGTGGATTGAGCCTGGGGGAGCAGGAAGGGAATGGGGGAAATCCCGGAGTGGATTGAGCCTGGGGGAGCAGGAAGGGAATGGGGGAAATCCCGGAGTGGATTGAGCCTGGGGGAGCAGGAAGGGAATGGGGGAAATCCCGGAGTGGATTGAGCCTGGGGGAGCAGGAAGGGAATGGGGGAAATCCCGGAGTGGATTGAGCCTGGGGGAGCAGGAAGGGAATGGGGGAAATCCCGGAGTGGATTGAGCCTGGGGGAGCAGGAAGGGAATGGGGGAAATCCCGGAGTGGATTGAGCCTGGGGGAGCAGGAAGGGAATGGGGGAAATCCCGGAGTGGATTGAGCCTGGGGGAGCAGGAAGGGAATGGGGGAAATCCCGGAGTGGATTGAGCCTGGGGGAGCAGGAAGGGAATGGGGGAAATCCCGGAGTGGATTGAGCCTGGGGGAGCAGGAAGGGAATGGGGGAAATCCCGGAGTGGATTGAGCCTGGGGGAGCAGGAAGGGAATGGGGGAAATCCCGGAGTGGATTGAGCCTGGGGGAGCAGGAAGGGAATGGGGGAAATCCCGGAGTGGATTGAGCCTGGGGGAGCAGGAAGGGAATGGGGGAAATCCCGGAGTGGATTGAGCCTGGGGGAGCAGGAAGGGAATGGGGGAAATCCCGGAGTGGATTGAGCCTGGGGGAGCAGGAAGGGAATGGGGGAAATCCCGGAGTGGATTGAGCCTGGGGGAGCAGGAAGGGAATGGGGGAAATCCCGGAGTGGATTGAGCCTGGGGGAGCAGGAAGGGAATGGGGGAAATCCCGGAGTGGATTGAGCCTGGGGGAGCAGGAAGGGAATGGGGGAAATCCCGGAGTGGATTGAGCCTGGGGGAGCAGGAAGGGAATGGGGGAAATCCCGGAGTGGATTGAGCCTGGGGGAGCAGGAAGGGAATGGGGGAAATCCCGGAGTGGATTGAGCCTGGGGGAGCAGGAAGGGAATGGGGGAAATCCCGGAGTGGATTGAGCCTGGGGGAGCTGGAGAAACCACGGGGCAGCGGATACCGGGCGGCTTTTCGGGACAGCCTGCCGGTGCAGGGCATCACGCTGGAGGAAGGTAACGGGGATTCCCCCTCTAGGGGGCAGGGAATGGGGCAGCTGCTGAGACCAGCCCCAGGGGGGCAGGCCGGCTCAGGGGGGCAGGGAACAGAGCAGGGGGCCTGTCCCTTCTAGGGGACGCTGGTGAGACCGGCCCCTGGTGTGACCGGCCCCAGGGGGACAGCCTGGCTCAGGGCTCCCCTCACTCGGTGTTTCCCTCTTTTCTCCCAGTGACCGAGATCATCGGGCGGGACCTCAGTGATTTCCCGGAGCCGCTCTGCGAGGGCCAGGGCAGCTGAGACCCCAGGGCCCTCCCGGGTCCGGCCGTCTCCCGCCTGGCCGTCCGTCTGTCCCAGCTCCCCGCCAGGCATGCCTGTCCGTCTGTCCATGGCCCCTAGCTCTCTTTCTGTCCATCCGTGTGCCCTAGCTTTCTGTCCAGCTGTCCCAGCTCCCCACCAGGCACAGCTCTGTCCGTCTGTGCTAGCTCTCTGTCTGTCCATCCCCACGGCCTAGTTCTCTGTCCGTCTGTCCCAGCTCCCCGCCAGGCACGGTTCTGTCCATCTATCCATGCCCCCAGCTGTTTGTCTGTCTGCCCATGCCCCCTAGCTCGCCGTCCATCCACCCTCGCTCTCTGTCCGTCCATCCGTGTGTCCTCTCTGTCCGTCCTGTTGGCCTGCTCGAGCTGTCTGTCTGTCCTGCCAAGCGCTCTGTCCCTCTGCCCTAGGTCTCTGGCTGTCTGCAAGACGGATCTGCCTGTCCAAGCTCCCCGTCCATCGCCCTTCCTGCATTACGGATGGATGATCCCAAAGGGCCCCTCCATGCCCCAACCTCCCGGGCATCACAGCTCCTTCTGTGAGCGGGGTCTCGGGGAGGGGGGTGATCATGTCACCCCTGTTCCCCCTATTCTCTCTGCCCCCTCCGCAGCATCTCCCCAGGGGCACAAACACCCAACAGGGGGGGGGAGAAAAATTCTTATTCCCTTCCCGAGACTCTGCCTCACCCACTCAGCAAGTGGGGGCAGGGTCCCAAACATTCAGCGCGCCCCCTGAGCTAACGTGGGGGAGGAGGCAGCACCCCAGGGGGTCCCTCCCCCCCGATCTGCCCCTTCCACCCCTCCAGGGGGGTACACCAGAGTTCAGGGCCACAGCCGTCCCAGGGTGGGGGGCCATGGGGAGAGGGGAAACTCGGATTTATATTTTTATACCAGTTCTTCTCCCTTTCCGGAATGAACGGATTAAAGAAACGACTCAACCGATCCACCTCTGCTGCCCCTATGCCCCTTGTAAGCGGATCAGTCCGGGGGGAAGGGCGATACGCTGGTGTTGGCACGGACAGACGGACAGACACCGTCCCTGTTGGAGTCACCGGTCCCGGGCGGAGGAGCCGTGGGGGGTGGGAGGGGCTGGATCGGTCTGGCTGATCCTCCCGGACGTCCCCACTCTTACAGCAAACCAGTTTGTGATCAGGGTTTGGCTGCTGTGTTGGCACGGATCAGTCCGGGGGGAAGGGCGATACGCTGGTGTTGGCACGGACAGACGGACAGACACCGTCCCTGTTGGAGTCACCGGTCCCGGGCGGAGGAGCCGTGGGGGGTGGGAGGGGCTGGATCGGTCTGGCTGATCCTCCCGGACGTCCCCACTCTTACAGCAAACCAGTTTGTGATCAGGGTTTGGCTGCTGTGTTGGCATTGGCTGGGGTTCGTCGCCGGACGATGGGGAGGTGCCGTCGGGGTGGGGTCTGGGGTTTCGCTTTGGTTCGTCCCACCCGGCCCAATCGGTCGGTTCTTGGCTCCTTCCCGCGCCCCCGTGAGGGCCTGGATGGCA